GGCTGACATATACATACATCATCCCTAGAGCGAGCGAGTACCTCTTTCGCTTGTGCGTGCGGTGGTTGGAAAGCGCGCGCGCGCGCTCACCGCCTGCCTACCTACGTCCCTTCTTCTCCGTCAGGAGGTTCGTCTCTACGCACTCGACTCGACGCACCGTCGAGCGAGAGTCTGCGATCAATGCGTGGCACTGGCACCGGTCGTCATGGTAACGGTGCGCGCCACGCACAGCGAACGAACGATCCGCCTCGATCGTGCGTAAGTGCGTGCTCCCTCTAGCCAGCAGCGCTCGCTGGCTCGCTCGCGCGCGCCCGCTATATCGGTTAGGGGTGTGCGTGCGTGTGTAAAAGTTCGTATGCGGAGGGGCACGAGTCGCGACGCGACGCGACGCGATGCCGTACTCGCGATTGAGTGCGTGGAACTAAGAACGTGCGCGGAAGGATCCAGGCTTTTTTAGAAACGCACTCGAGCCCCTAGGAGCTGCTGCGTTTCGCGAACCGAACGTATTCAAGAGCGTTCTTTTATGTAGTTGACGATCGAGCATTAAGAGACTCGAAGAAATTGTGAATATGCTTCACTCGAAAATTCTTTTGATATGAACATTTCAGTTTTCAGCTACTTCGCCGATTGGGTATTTCATAAAAATGTCAATATCTCTATAAAACTTACACTTTAGGAATTACCCACCTGGGACCATGTGCATTTATAAGAAACGTCATGTAACGACATGGATAACAGCGCCCTTATAAAGTTATATCAAAGTCTAGCTTACGAGCAGGCTGTAAAAGTGCTTTTTACACAATCTACTTATTGCAAAATGATCGCCATCCCCCCGAGGGATATATTTTTGCTCAGCATTTCACGCAGTTGACTGAAGAGTAACGTGAATCAAATATAAATTTCCATTCAACTTTTTTTTTTACAATTGATTACAACTTGCGAAATTCATTTCCCCGGGGCGAAGAAATGGCAAATACGTTGCGCGGATTAAGTATCTCACGAATCGATCTAAATAAATATAACTTGCGACATGTACTTGCAAATTTCAAATCAAGAATCTAGGTCTACAGTCAGGACTCTGCCTTGACACGTAGAGCTCGGCCGGCTTATGCCTACTATAAATAAAAAAAAAATTCTCCGTTTTCTGCACGCGCGCGCTTATACACGCAGATACATCCGACGTGCGTAATACGGTAGGATTGTAGGCGTGCACGTGCGTGGGCATCGGGGCGTGCGTGTGCGAGCCACGCACACAGAAAAGATATCCTGCGGCCTGCGGGCCACGAGGAAAGTCGCATAGGACCGCGGTGGCGGACGAGGCAACGATCGATGCCCCGCAAACTTCGAGCCCGTAGCGCGCGGCAACGAGCACGTGGCACTTGTGTACGTACTCTATATATATTGCCGAGCGTGCACACCTCCACGCGACCGAGGAAAAAAGCGAGAAGGAGAGAGAATGGACGGGGTCCCTGCTCAGCTTCCGGGTGCTGGATGCTTCGCTTCGGATGCGCGAACCTCCATGCTAGCGTGTTTAGTCCTTCCAATATTTTTTATTTACATCGCACTTACAGCTACAGTTCTCGGATTAAATGTAGACCAAATGTAGATTGTTGTCAGAAGAGAGAGATTACAAAGAGTGCAATCGAGAATAGTTGTGCTGTACGAAATGTTTCATTTTATATGAGAGATTTATATTTTATTTAAATCAGATTTATATTTTAATCAGAACAACATTACTATAAACACAATAGTATCGCCAATTTTTATACTGGAGTGAAAAGAATCGAAGGGTGGTAGGACGACGTCCGATATTCGTCGAAACGTTCGGTGCAGACAGCGAGGACGGGGTGAGACCGAAATGGCATGCAGCGGAAGGGTCTGTGTCGGGAGGGCGACCGTCGGTGGCAAGGAACAAGAGGCGGAGAGTCGGAGTGGACCCTAGCAAAACACAAGACCGCGGGATGTTTCGGCTAAGCGGAAAGGGTTTACAGAGAATTGGGGTATCTCGTAAACTTGACCTATCTGACCAACGGTGTTTAGGACATTGTGCGCCGGTGTCAAGCAAGCGGAAGTGGGTCAAATTAAATATTAACGAAACTCCGTTGAAACCCATGCAGGGTTCGTTCGTCTACCTGAAACAAGGAAATTTTTGCCTATCCCGTGGGATCTGTATAAGGATAGGATAGGGATACGTGTACATACTTATTGACGGTATAGCTTCGTGAAATTTTTATAAGCGGTTTCATGCACAAGTAAACTTCAGGGAAAGATTGCATGAATTAGAATTTTTCTAACGTTCCATTCAAAGAATCCAAATCTATCAAGAAGCGCACGATAACTACACAGTTTCTACGTATTTACGTTTTCATTCGCACTCGTCGGAAGCTTCTTGGAAGCTAGGATATAAAACACGTCCGGTATCGTAGTTGTAAATGATCATAATAAATTACGGTAACAAACTGTAACATTACTCATGTTCATATCATACTGACTATGAACTGTGCCTCAGTTTAAGAAATCAAAATATAATTTAGCAAGTGCTCCACGTAACAATTCTTCTTTGACAAAAATAAATATAAATGACATTTTTTTATACAGAAATTGATGCTGCATAAGTTCGTATTAAACCATTTAATTTCGATGGATTGGTACTGGTCGATATCGATTTTCGCCCCGGGAGAGTTTAGATTCCGTTTGCGGAAAAATCTGGTTGAAGGTAATAAAGGCCGCGCGTCGACAGAAGCGGCAATGGGTGAACGAAAGGGTTAGAGGTTCGAGATTAAAAGGAAGTCACCCCCTTCGCCCCACCCCGTCCCTCCCCCCGCGTCTCTCCATCAATCACAATTATATCCTCTCTCTCCCCTGCTATCGTTCATAATTACTGCTCGTGACTTTATCCCGACGTTGCTGAACCGGGGCCGTGCCGTCCGCTTCGCTCCGTTCTGGTCCAGCCACGCACCGATCACTCAGATAGGTGATAAGACCGAATGAAAGAAGACGTCGTATCGAACAACTCAGCAACTTATGTCGAAACGATTTGCTCATTCTTGTTACTTCCCTGAATTCTCTTTCTAATCAAGAATAACAGAACGAAAAAATCTTTGAATAAAAAATGGAAAGCTTAGCAGAGATACGATTCGTAAGTTTTTGATTGTTTCATTGCTTTGTCAAGATAATGTATCTGCAGCAAAGAGAAACTTTGCAGCACTTTTTTTTTGGGTCGGTAAAAAACATGCGGAGGCCGTCCGATAAAAGCGACTGAACGCAACGAGTTCGCCGGAAGTTCGGTTATAAAAATCACCGGATAAAATTTCCGGCATGGAATAGAGTCATAGAGCTTAATGCAGCGAAGCTTACTCCTTCGCTCGTTGACTGAGAATAACTGTACATTCCTAAAAAAATAACTGGAACCAAACTTGAGACCCCTGTTCCAATGACCCTTACATAAGAACCTGCAGTTACCCTCCAAACATTACCCCAAAAAGAGCGTGAAAACAGGTGTCCAACGGCATCTCTCACCTTTCATTCTCCCCTACACCCATTCCACCCTCCATACGTATCAAATCCTCCTTCACATTTATTTGATTTCTAGAAACATAAGTATACCTTCAAAAATTCGACAGACTAGTATAGATAAATCTCTATCAACGATTCTCAATAAATAAATAGGCCAGAATGTATTATAGAAAAAGAAAGATTACTCTATGATTTTCTTAGAGCATCGAAGCTCCGCGCAGGGTAATTGCGTGCGCCTTAGACACGGTTGGCCTATTACCACCATGACGTTTGAAGAAGAGAAAGAGAGAGCGCGAATGTAATATACACTTTCCTCTGGGAGGAGGCGACTTCAGTCCTCTTCAGTCTGTTCTTCTCCGTTGTCGGTCTTCCGTCTCGCTCGCCCTTCGGAGGTGCGTGTGCGCCCTTCGACGCAGGGTGCGTGCGCGCATATAAATGGAAACCCTTCAAGTAGCCTCGGTACCCGCGTTGCCATCTACCTCGTGTGCGTGTGCACCCACCCCTCTCTACGCACTCCTGGATTACTGCGAGCAGCGGGGGTGGCTCGGCGAGGGCTGCCTCTCGGCGACGATAGTGCACCCTCACGGCCTAGCTACGCTTGTACAACTCCTTTTTTTATTTTCCTTCGCACTTTTTTCTCTGATCTTCTTAAACACAACTGGGAGAGATTTTACATGTCGAGAAGAATTTCGGGTAGCCTTAAAGCGGTGATATTTCAGGGGCAGGATTTCGTATTCAGAAAAATATTATGGAAGTATTCAAGACGAATGGAATTTTTTGAATATTTTGAGACAATTTTATAGAAATGTGTGAGATGAATATAAACTTACGAGACTGAATTAATACGATTTCGAAAATCAAAGAGATCGTTTTTAAAAAATGTGTAGTGCAGGTTTTACATATTAGTTTAAAAAGTTGAACACTGTTTAAGCTGTATTAAAGAAAAAAATGACATCCTTCACAGCATCAAACTGTGGTACATCACGGGGATGAATCCTGGGCGTCTTGCGACTACAGCTAGTCGCAGTCGGAAAAGGGTGGGAAGCGCGTAGAGCACAAGTGCACGCAGATAGTCGATGTTAGGTGCGTTGCACGAGCGCTTACGTGCCTAGAAATTCACCCCTTTTTTCTGCTCTCGCTCCTGCGTAGGTGGCGAAAGGATAAAGGGGGAGAGAGATGGCGGTCAAGGGGTGCGCGAAAAGGGGAGGCCTCCGGAGTGAATACGGCACACAGGAGCGGTACGTACAAGTACACCGTTTCACAGAGACAGAGTGGAACGAGAACGAAACCTATAGCACGCACTTACGCGGTTGTATATGCGTGTACGCGTACGCGTACGCACCCCGAGGACAGCGCCAGAGAAAGAGTAGGGGAGGGTGAGCTTTCAATTTTTCCTGTTGCCTTCGCGACCAGCCGGAAGCTGAGATTCTGCGAAAGAATACGCCTCTTTCGTAGCCGTACTTTGTTCCTAGGACGATTTTACATATCAAAAAACATGGCGTTTTTATTTTGTAAAGCTTTGAGGGAAGAATCCACTATGGACGATTCATACAAGTCTCCAACTTTGGTAGTGAAAATTAATTTTGTCTATACTATATGTGAGTTAGAGAGAGTATAGTTAGCTAGTTATAGTATAGTGAGAAATTTGTGATTTGGGAGGTATTTTAAAATAAATATTTTCTAACGAAAAAACATTCATGTTCTTTACAATTCCCATCAGGAACGTCCAATTTCCCTTACTCGTAATATTTTTTTTCCGCAAGCCTAGTCAGTGATGGAGCTAGTTTGCTCGAGTCAGAGATTTCAATCAAGCTACGCAGATCGAACAAACGGAAAACTGTGGAATCAGGGAGAGTTGAAAAGTCGAACGGTCGTAAAAAAAAGTCGCGTAAAGGACGGGAAGGGTGTGCGTGGCCCCGCGGCGAGAAAATTCCGCACATCCTGCGCGTGTCTGACCTCCTGGCAGTTATTTCCCATTCCCCGCAAGGTTCCAACCCCCTGACATCCCTTCGCACGCCTACTCTACGTCCTCCTCCTTTCGGTCCTTTTTATCACGACGCACGTCGAGATACTTTTATTATATCGCCCCAAAGTCGTAGCGATTCACGATAACTTAACTTGTATCATACTCCGTTCTTGCTAAACAATTACAATCGGTCATGAATCATTTTTCGCGTAATACCCGCGTGCTCAGCTGCGTTCGTCACAAGCAACATGAAAATTTGGATCGAATTTCACTTCGTTTACAAGCAGAGCGAAGGTGATTCATATCCAGTAAAAAAATCACGTTTCGACGACGAATAAAGAAGGCTTTGAAGAACTCAAGATTTGAAAATAGTCGTGACAGCCATCGTAGAAATAAAATAATGTATGTTACTATAAGAACTTCCTTTTTATATTTTTAATAGTTCTTTTAGCTTCTAGTATGTATTATTAAAATTTATTGCTACTCAAATCATGATTAGAATACTATAAGGGAACAGCGATTAATTTGGATTCGTTTACCTACATCGTATAGAGAAGACTTGTATGTTTTTTAAATATTCAGACTATGTAAGTTTTAGTAAATTAACTGCGTCAACTGTTTTGAACGAAGTTATAAAATAAGACTAATTAAGTACGAGTAAAGATGTTTGAGGAATTTCTGAGAATTTACCTTTCTCTGTAATCATAGCGAAGCTTCATCGGTGTTCTTTAGGTTCTCTGTCAATTACGTTCCTTATTCACATTCGAATGAATCATGCGTTTCGTAGGACTCTACATCCCCCGAACTAAATGCCATGCCATGGCCATTATACTACTTCCGGTCCCCATTCCGGGAATCCACCCACGAAATTAACTGTGAGGATTCCGTAATACTGCATCATTCATTAATAGACGAACTGGATTCAAGTTTGTCTATAAACAATTCTCCTTTCCGATTTCATTTAGTTCAGTTTTTCAAAAATTTCCCATGATCTGACAAGAACAACCGTGAGGGAACCAAAACACGTCGGTGTACAGCTGGTTTCCGCTTCCTTCTAACGCTACCAATCGCTTTTGCACGTATTGCTGCTGACATCTGCTGGTGTATCCCGCAGGAACGGAACAGATACCATTGCAAACGTCGGTTCTGAAAAAAATCAAAGTGCAATATGTATGAAATCCTTTACACGAAAGTTTTACTAAAATATCGTCAAGAATTACGTGCTACATTTTTGTCAAATTTTTAAGACTTGCGTTTCTATGGAAAATAGAAATTGAGATGTCTAATTAAAAAAGACATTCATATTACGCGTTTTATCTTACTAGAAATTTATTCGCGACGCTACAAAATTCATTAGAGAAACGGTGTCAGGTTCAGGGTCGGCATGAATATACGAGTCGTTTAAAATAATTTAATTCACTATGTTTCCTCTCTTTCTCTTTCTCTGTCAGACAGTATAGAAGAATTACTTACGTGCACCTTTCGCTCTTCACTACTTGCGAGTACTTCTGATTCTGATCCGAAAGGTTCACCACGTACATCCAATTTCCTTGATTGTTCAGAGCTGCCCTTGGCGTGATGTACTGCGACTCCGTTGGACAAAGAGGTATTGTATCGGACTGCCTCTTCTTACGTTCCTTACTCAGTTTGCTGTATTTCAATAAGGGATTTTCAAATAGAGAACGCGGTGCGACTCTGTCATTCCGTGAGGGTCTGAAGCAATCAACAAAAATTCACTTCCGTTTTTTTTAATTCCAAAGAAAGTCTGATAGATAAATAAAATATACATGAATATTTGTTTCAATAAAGAACTGAATCTAAAAGTAATCACCTGTTTCCCCACCAATCGTGACCCTGTTGAAACGAGTGCAACGTCTGCGGTTGAGGGTAGAAAGGACGATCCGGTGCGACCCGTTGCTCCGTAGAATGGTATTTGATGGGCGTCGTCCCATCACCCAAAAACGGATTCCTCTGGGTCGGTGTCGTGTATGTATAACTGCGACCGACGGGTAACCGGATTATTCGAAGCATTTCTCGCAAAATTAACCGATATTTACCCATTCTGTTGAGTGTCGTTGGGCAGAGTCCCGTAAATGAGTGCCGGCTGGCCTTGAACGGGATACTGAGCCGGCGGCGGTAGAAACGGTAACGAGTGAAACTGGCCCTCGCCTTGCGCCGGAGGATAATCATATCCCTCAGAGTAATTCGGGATCGACCTTGAACAGAAACCGTACACACGTCCTTGATCGAATTCTTGAGGAATTCTCAGTTCTTTGATCCAATGACACGATTACGTGATGAACAGGGAATTAAACGTGGATGAATCAAATTTATTAATTAATCGCAAGTGGAGTGACTGAACGTACCTGTATACATTGAAATTGTCCCTCGATTCATCCCTGAGCACGGAATTAAAATTGAAGTTACATTTGTCCACGAGAAACTTAATCAACTGTCTGTAACATATAAAAGAACTCATAAAAAACGTGGGGAGAATAAAAGAAGTATAGAACAATGAGTCTACTAGGTTCCATCTACGAAACGATCTTTGACCCGTGATCGGTGAATGCAAATGGACATTGACATTCGTAACGATACGAGTCGAGTTTCTTGACCTAACTCGTAATGAGATCGCTTCAGAAGCGAATAAAAAATTGCTTATCTATCCCATGTATTTATTCATGAGTTCACGGAAGTCAGATTTCACGACCTACGGAGGTTGCTCTCGTACACGTTTTTTAACCATTCTCAAGGAGACACGAAAACTTGATAACTGTACTCCTTAAAATTAAAAAAAGTTCCTGTATCTTATCAAACCTCTATAACTTTCTTGACGACGTGACGTGAACTTTAAACTTTCACTTTGGAAATAATACGAAAAAATTGCGCTTTCACAAATTGATAGATGTCAGAAGAAAGTAAATAGCATTTGCTCTTTCACAATACTCTGAATAAAGTTCAACGTCCAATTTAAATCATTAACTGCAATCAGTGACGAGAAAAGAAAATAATCCTGGCACGTGTATCTAAATGATTATCGGCGAGATACGAGGTAACAAAATGTAACCGCGAGTATCGACCCAAAAGCGCGAAGTGTAAGCGCAAACAGGCAAATGAGTTTCGCGCGTGGTCGAAAGACACCCGGAACTTTCTCCACCGGTGAAAGACGTCAGCTAGAAGATGTGTCCCGATGTTTAATTCATGGTCCACGCCTAAACTCGGTTTTCCTGCGGGTTGCATCTCGATCACAGCCGCGGCTCAACCGACTTTCTAACGGACGTGTGATTCGTCAATGGACAACAAAATTCGATAGGGACACGAATTGACCTCGAACATTGACATATTAACTTACAGTCCTGTTCGCAACCGTTATGTTTGACCCACGCGTTGACTTTCTTCTTTCGTTTCGTCGAATGTTTCCAATTTTTAGAAACTTAGTATTCTCTACAGACACTATAAGACCTTGTTTTATCTCACAATCTAAAAAGAGTACCTAAAGACTAGCAGAGCATGGATGGAAGTGAAGAGACAACTGTTCCCATTCTGCGAACTTTTTACAAAAAAGGAAATGAACTAAAACTCTAAATTGCAGGGAAACGGTAGACAATACAGAGTTTCCTGTTATGCACGCCGCGTTACCACGCATGCGATAATTGCGACGGTGCGCCGCTGTCGAGAACTCGTTCATCAACGATAAACACTCGCAATCAACGTTTCCTTAAATCTTCCGTAATCTCTAGAATATGCGAGTAAGTAGCAATTTGCGTAATTGATCGCGTTCATCTATCCAGACTTACGAGCGGGAGTAACACTCGCTGAATGCAAGCAACCTTAACTAAAGATAATGAATGTAAAAATTCCTGTTGCAAATGCAAAGGATCAGAAACCAGAAACATTGCAGTATTGGTAATACACAGAAACGAGCGATTTGGAAAGACTTTCTAACTTGAGTTGCTCAATCTCACGTGTATGGTAAAATATAATGTGTACTTTAAATGGAAAATGTTCGAGACGATGACCATTCGTTGAACACTCGTTTGCTTAAGGCTGTCGGAAATGCATACGTTTCGCTTGACTCGGTAACGAGCATGTTTAATATGTTTAAGCCGGTTAACTCTCGCAAATTCAATCATCACGGATTTGCATATGATGTAATAAGTTGCTGGGAATATTATTCATAATAACTTTCTTCATCATATCCTTAATAAACTTACAATACCTGATTTTGTCATTTTATTAATCCATTAAGAGTGGATGTTCACAGGAATAAACCTGTTTCGATTCCACAGTTGACCTCATGGCGATGGAACTTCGAGTTCACATCAGAATCAAGAATTTCGACTCGATCTGTAACGGTTTCGATAATTATCTAGAAGGGCATGACCGCGTCAAGGCCACGGTCACGCAACGGTGATCAAGGAATTAAACGTATCGGAACGTCTTTACGTAATCTTTAAACCGCTTTCAAATCTATCCGACAAAGGGGATTAAGAAACGATGTCTTAATAACGTGTAGAAGATTCAACACCCAATTTGACAATTTAGCGTATCGATTAGTTCGCCGTATCGTTTTCTTGCCATTATTTCCGGTACCGTTTCCAATGTAGCGCAAGCGGAATAAAAGGCGAATGTCGCAAGAACGTGACGATTTCCAAGATATTCTCGCGGCAATTTCGAGTAAGTTCACTATCCGGGAACTTTCCCTTCCCGAAATTCGTCCCGACATACCACGTAATTTCGTATGCAGGGACGGTGGTCTACGCGACGCCGGGAATATTAATAACGCTACGGTAAACCATATTTTTACGAATTCCCTAGACACTGAACATTCTGTGCATTAAGGACTTCATGTCCAATCATTCATCAATGGGTGATATAATTTTTTTTAAAAACTGTTCAAGTTTTTGTTATCGTGCTCGAGTTACGTAAATCTCACAAGAAGAACTCAAAGAAGTCGTACCGGGATTCATTCGTAATGCATAACGAACGAACGATCCAATTCTTTCGATCGTTTCATACGATTAGCTGACCGAGGACAGACAACAAACGACCGATACCTTGTAACGATAATGCCTGATTCTCGCGCAACTGTTAAGAGCCAGCATTATCATGCAAATGCGATAATAGGACTGACATCATAGATCTGCCAGACGTTATCCCACGAGCATTGTATGTGCATAAGTAGCACACTGCAACCGCGGTTATTTTTCACGAACCTCGCAAGAACGCATCCGGCGTACACGTTATGTCATTGCTACCATTTTTTAATGTTTTTATTTCAATAGTAAGAAAAATGATTTGTGGTTCGGTAGCTAGAAGCGCGTAACTATTAAATATTCTAATGATAGAATTCTGAGACCGATGTTTCCTGGGAATCTGAACATACTCTTATCTGCAGCTAATCTATATTTTCTAATGCAAACTCTTTTTCCCCATATAAGAGTCTCTTATCTTATGATCTAGATAGATTCTCCTTTCGTATTAATGAATTCACCTACTTACCGTGGATAATGATCGAGACTTTCACAAAATGTTTGTCCTGGCTTTGCGCAATTTGGTGTATGCCCCGGAGGTGCAGGTACAAAAGGTTCGTACTGCGGCCGCCCTGGACATCCGTACTCGAGGCAAGGCTCGCTATGAGCATTCACCAAAGACGTCTTGAATCAGAAAACAGGAGGAGCAGTGAAAATCTTGGTGGAATAATTAAAAAAATATTCAACCTCTTTAAGATCTTAATATAAGTAATCACTATTGATTTATTAGGAGAAATCTGGTTGGTGCAAGATCGCAATGAATCATACTTCTTAGCTCGCGGCATTCGATCAGGAATATTAATTACATACTCAGCCATTTATTAAAAGATCTTGACCGATTAGTATTTATAAGCATGTTACTGGAATGACTAAGCTAGGCTGCATTTAACGGCATATTCGGCATGGATTTTTGGGGGTAGAAAATTTATGGTTGTCCCATATTATCTGATCAGATCATCGAAACGGATTTAAACCTGACGTAACATCCTGTGCAACGCCATTTAGGAGCTTTCTTACGGTACTTTCAATTGACTCATCGCAGCCGGTACCGCTTTTTATCGATTCCCGGATCACCCTGGAAGTTCGAACACCGCGACGCGACTTTCGTTTTATTCGTAAAACAACCGGACAACGCATGCTTAATGAGCTCGATTGAAATGCTGAAATAAGAAAATGTTGACAGTTGAAGAAAGTGATCCGGATTTAAATCGAAATGAGTCATCTCGCCCGCTGCAACAGTGCCGTTACCCGAGCAGCTTGCATAATTATGTTCTTTCTGTAATAATTTATTCATAAGGTCGACCGTTCCTACATTTTCACTGATGTGTACATCCGGTGTTACAAAAAACTTGAAAGATATTGAAACGAACTTACAAAACGCAGAGAGTCTTACGCCAGATATTGCGGTATACATATGTACGTACGTCAGAACATTAAATTTTACATTTCACTATGACTTTCACAGATGTAAAAGAGTTTTCACTATAATATCTGTTACGTATAACGTTGCAAAATATGTGTTCGCTTCTGATGTAAAATGTTGACTCGATGTAAAAACGTGAACGAGTTAGGCTTTCACCTATGACTGATCGATAGAAGCCCTCGTGTATGTACATAATTGTAGTTCCCAAATTAGAAATCTTATTTAGGACGCCGCTTTCGTGAGTTTCGTGATAGGATAATAGAACGGACTAAATAGTGATTCGTTATTTTTATCGGTTGTAACGTCACTTGATGTAACTCACGTCTAATTAATTTCGATCGTGATGTATAAATAACGCGTGCTCTTAATCATTTAAATTTCTGAATAGACTGACGCAAGTAAACGCCATGAACGCGTTGAACGCGATACGGCGAGCGTGAATTATTTCATTTCAAGTTACTGCGCATAGTTTCAGCTGACTTATATCTTAAAAATCTTATGTATGATACTCTTACATCAATAATTTTACTTACAATTAATAGCGCAGTGAATAATAATGTCATTTTCGATACGGTCATACACCAGACGTCCATCATCGTAATAAACTCAGTTTAAGAACACTATCTTCCTTTAGTCTCTGTCACACCGCAAGGGGTGTTATTTTAGGAATATACAAATCACATAATTATCGTAACGCGTTACAGGATTACTGTGACACAATGTGGAATTATCTATGCGTTGAGGCACGTGCCGGTATCCGCAGATGCGCTTCGCAAGCTAGACGGATCGCGGAAACGCCGATGCGCAATCATCGATTCATGCGTGGCGCGAGAGTTGACAGGTATTGTCGACTACGAAGATCTATGCCTCGACGCGCGAGCGATTGACACCCGAGGGTGAAACAATTTTTCAACTCACGAACTTTGCCTGAATGAATCACGGGTCAAATTGGTCGCGCACGAATTATAAATTACCGAACCGTGATCGCAGCGAGTCGCGACTGTTCATCGATCCGAAATCCAGTGGAATTCAATTTAAGTAAAATCGATGGTCAGAGAATGACGATCTGATTTAAAGGCAAGGTCGATTGCGAGCACCACTTTGTGACGGATGCGGCCGATCCGTGGAGAACGAGTGCAACCGTCGATACTTTATAGTCACCAGCCACTGTCACTTGGCTATATGTATACTTGTATGCAGTGCGCGACGTTGGGTCCAGATTCCGTTGGGGTTTGTCCCGTGCGATTTTACGCGCGTCGTTCTTACCTAGCAACGTGGGTAACTCGGTGAACTTACGGATACTCACGTCCGTATCCCTTCCTTCGTGTACGCGCGTGCACGAGTTCCGATCTAGCGACGAAGTGGGGTGCACACGTATATAGTGTACACGTACTTTATATGTACTTTCACTGGTGTTCGCCGTTTCACGGCGCGGCATTCGACCTTACGCGTTGGCAAAGATCAATCAAACGTGTCGATTTTTTTCTTAGAAAGTGTCACTAGAACGAACAGGATCATTGGAATAGCGTAGAGAGGAAGGTCAACTACTTGTTTTTTATTTTGTATTCATTCTTTTTAATCATTGGAAATGAGAAGATTGAATGTCGTCATTCTATTTTTTATACTGACAATGATTTTATTTTATATATATCTTTATTTGTGAATTGTATTCATATATTATACATCGAGTACGGAGGGAATTTTTAATGAGGATCTCTTTTTATACCCAGTTTGATGCTATTTTAAATAATGTCAATTAATCACACTTAATTCGTTGAATACTGGAATTAGAAGTAAATTATATACGATCTTTTTTGCAGGCAATAATAATAATTACAACTTCTATTTGAAGGTTTTCTCATGAAATAAATTTTTATTTTTCCGAGGTTTTGTCAACCCTTCAAGATTTCTTGACATTTTTGTCTATTGCAAATAAATGCTTATCTGTTTGCCACTAGCAAAACATGTTCGAAACAGAAGTTGTGGGTACCATCAAAAACTATAAATTTTGTATGAAACATTTTTTCTACTGTCAATAGTTAACAAGTACTTTGCAATAAACTGTTTTATCGTTTTTTCTCAAGTACTCGTAAACTAATTGACGATAGCGAATTCCGACAAAAGTTGTAGCTATGGAATTTCGTCGTAAATTGAACGGTTTAGGAGTAATTGAGGAGAAACGAAATTTTTTGCCAAAAGTTTGCTGTTTCGATAGTGGGAATGGCCGAATTTTATTAGTACAAATAAAATGCCGATTAATCATATTAAACTTGTTAAATACTGGAGTTGGAAGAAAAATTCATAGAATCTTTTTTGTAGAGGACGTCAGTGTCTACAACTTTTATTTGAATCATTTTTCGAAGACTTTGATAAGTATTTATTAACAATAATCTTTCAAGAATAGTTTATTTCCATATAAAAAAATAATAAACGATTAGATTGAAAGTATGAAGTATATCAAATCGCCTCGTTAGAATACCTTTTGGCGCTCTCTGTTAGCAAATTACAAAGCTAAATGCAGCAAGGAGAGAATCTCCTGATCGATGAGAGAAAGAAATATGCAAACAGTTCTAAGTTGGGCCACGAGATGACACGATACCGTTCAGCATAGAATTCATTTTTGTCCTATTACTGTAAATTAGTATACATATAGGTAGAGCACCGAGGAAAGGTGTGAAAGGAGTAAATACACTTTCGAGCACCTATCTCGCGGTTTCGTCATGTATGTTGTCGCTGTGTGAGCCCGCTGTCCGTGCCGTCGCATTTCATGTGAAAGGAACCTGAGCCTTTAAACACTAAGGCCCATACGCTCCTGTATACAGACAGCGTAATCATAGCCATGGCGACTATCGCTTCGTCGCGGGTAGACGAACTCGTACAAACTGTTACCCTCCATAATCCGCGGAAATTGCTGTTCACGGGCTACGTCCTACCATCTGTGGTACTCCACGCAGTGTGGATTTACATTTGGATATTCATTTATGGAATTGACAAATATTATGACGCGGGTTTAGTGGGTTTCGCCGCGATCGGCGTGCTACAAATTTTCATATGTTTGTGTTGCCAGTGGTCGGTTCACATTCACACTTTCCTCAATTGTAGCTCGGTGAGTTGACGATCGTTCAATCGTGATAACAATCGTATTAATTAAATAATTCGCACGTGCGAGTTAACATTGTTCAATATGTTTCGCTAACGTGGCAGCCATTCGAACCGGCCTTCTGCCCGTATGTGTCACGTGGTCGCGCGGCGGATAATTTCGAATTCATCGACCTAACGTGATGGTCTCAATAATCATAATATCGTTCTAGGAGAAAGATCCGTACAAGGCAAAAATAGCGAAAGTAGTTCCTACACCTAACAATGGAAGCTCAGACCTTGTCAAACTGAATCATAGCGACCAACAGGAACCGTGGTTTATATTTCAGAAGACTAAATATTATTGGAACTCAGATAAGAGATGTTTCGAGGGCCTCCAATTCCCAATTAATCACTCTGTTAAACATTACAGCGAGTGGAAAGGGTACTTAGATGAAAAAGACATTGCAGCAGCGAAGGAAAAATATGGGATAAATAAGTAAGAAACTTGTTCCCCTTTCGATTCTCTAGTGTATTTAGATCATATTCCATATTTCTGATTACTTTTATTTAGATTGGATATGTTAGTGCCGGAATTTAGAGAATTGTTTAAGGAGAGAGCAATCGCACCATTCTTTGTTTTTCAATTATTTTGCGTAGCGTTATGGTGCCTGGATAAATATTGGTACTACAGTATCTTTACACTTGTTATGCTCGTTATGTTCGAGTGCACTCTTGTGCAGCAGCAACTCAGGAATATGGCTGAGATTAGGAAGATGGGAAACAAGCCATACACGATGATGGTTGGTATATATAGAAGATAATTCAACTGTTTCTCATATGTTTCCAATAAATTTCCAATAAATAAATGATTTGTATCAAAGGTGTACAGGAATAGAAGATGGCATTCCATGTTCACTGATCAATTAGTTCCTGGTGATATTGTATCTATAACGAGATCTCAGAACGATAATCTAGTGCCATGCGATATGTTACTTTTAAGAGGACCTTGCGTAGTTGACGAGAGTATGCTAACAGGTAAATATTTATGATGGATATTATATATTCATATACTCAACTTGATCGTTGAATAGGAGAGTCAGTTCCTCAAATGAAAGAACCCATAGAAGACATCGACGGAAACAGACAACTGGAGATAGAAGGCGATGACAAGTTTCATGTCCTCTTTGGAGGTACAAAAGTCGTGCAACACACGCCCCCTAGTAAAAGTGTATCTGGCCTTAAAGGTATCTGAACGACAAATGATGAATTGTTACTTTTCATTTTGTAGTTAAACATATTTTACATTAATACATACAAAATTTCAGCACCTGATAATGGCTGCGTGGCCTACGTTTTACGTACTGGATTTTCAACGTCACAGGGTAAACTTTTGAGAACAATATTATTCGGAGTTAAACGTGTTACTGCTAACAACTTGGAGACGTTTGGCTTTATTCTATTTTTACTAGTCTTTGCGATTGCTGCAGCAGCATACGTATGGATCAAAGGTAAATTGTGCAGATGTGTAGACATTTCTATTATATACTATATAAATTAATTTCGATCTGCAGGAAGCGAGGATCCTACAAGAAATAGATACAGGTTGTTCTTGGAATGTACACTCATTCTAACATCGGTCGTTCCTCCGGAATTGCCTATTGAGTTATCATTGGCTGTTAACACTTCGTTACTGGCCTTATCGAAACTAGGTGTATTTTGCACTGAACCCTTTAGAATTCCTTTTGCTGGGAAGGTTGAAATATGTTGCTTTGATAAAACTGGTACTTTGACTAGTGATAATTTAGTCGTCGAGGGTATAGCCGGGATTGAGTAAGAGTTCTCTTAATATTATTATTACTACTACTGAAAATAACAGTTATTTCAATACACAATTTATTACTTCAGAGGAAAACCGGATGTTATGCACCTTTCTGATGCGCCTATAGAAAGTATTCAAGTACTCGCAACATGCCATTCTCTTGTACAACTAGACGAAGGAATTGTAGGAGACCCTCTTGAAAAAGCTACATTAAAGGCTATTAAATGGAATCTAACAAAAAGTATGTTTCGATTTCTGATCGCTTAATAGAAGTTTTACGATTTTTTAATAAACTCAAATTTTTGTCAGATGAATCTATGATACCTAAAAAAGGACAGTCGCCGGTGTTAAGAATTGTACAAAGGCATCAATTTTCTTCCGCATTAAAACGAATGTCAGTTGTGGCGTCATACACAACGCCGGGATCGTCGGAAATTCATTACATGACGACCGTAAAAGGTGCTCCTGAAGTTATTAAAGACATGGTACGTAACAGTAGTTTACTTTATCTTTCCCATGTTTCATACTGAACATCATTTTGTTTTCAGTTGTCATCTGTACCAGAGAATTATGAATCGACGTACTTGTCATTTTCTCGGCGCGGAGCAAGAGTACTTGCTTTAGGATATCGAAAACTTTCTGGTCCCCTATCATCGCAGGATTTAAGAGAGCTAACGCGAGAAGACTTAGAGAAAAATCTGACTTTCGCTGGATTTGTAATTATAAGTTGTCCGCTTAAACCTGATTCTAAGGCTGTTATTAAGGAAATCGTGAACGCTTCGCACTCGGTAATTATTTAAATATTTAATCTCAATTTTTATTATTTATTTTATATATAAATATTTAACGCTGTTTTACAGGTTGTTATGATCACTGGTGACAATCCTTTAACGGCATGTCACGTCAGTCGTGAATTACATTTCACAAAGAAGCCAGTTACTCTTATATTGACAGCTTGTAACGGAGAATGGTTGTGGGAGAGCGTAGATAAAAAGGCCTCTATACCTTTGAAAAAGAAAGATTCTCCGAGTGATGAAATTTGGCGAGAGTATGCCCTCTGCGTAACAGGAGAGGTAAGTTGAGAGAAACTAAGATTACAAATACCATGTCTGTCGATTGTATTATCTTTATAATATGAACATTTCAGGGCTTAGTATATTTGAAAGATAACGAACGAGACTTACTTCGTAAATTATTACCGCACATTGTAGTCTTTGCGCGCTGTGAACCGAAACAAAAAGAATTTATTATTGTCTCATTACAAAGTCTAGGATACACGACTTTAATGTGCGGAGATGGTACTAATGACGTCGGTGCTTTGAAACATGCTCAAGTGGGTTAGTAGACCTTAAATAAAATTTGTACACTTCGACTTAAATCATCCATATTAACTATTTTATTTGCTTAGGCGTTGCCATTCTCTCGGGCATACCTGAAAGAGTATCGGCAGAAAAACAAGATAATGCGAAAGATGAACATGCGATCTCCAATTCAACAGTATCAAACGGGCCAAGGAATAACCCACGAGCCAATGCTAATACCAGAGCAAGGATACAGAAGATACTGAAAGAACTCGAACAACAATCAATCGTAGTTAAGTTAGGCGATGCTTCGATTGCTGCGCCTTTTACTAGTAAAATGTCATCAATTCAATGCAGTAAGTTATATTTGAGTGAATCTTACGATAATTTTGATTTCAGATCTGTTACATTAGCATTCGTTTTGTTACAGTATGCCACGTTATTAAGCAAGGTCGATGCACTCTGGTCACTACCTTGCAGATGTTCAAAATATTGGCTTTAAATGCATTAGGACTCGCGTACAGCCAGTCTGTCCTTTATTTAGATGGAATAAGGTTCAGTGATGTACAAGCTACCTTACAGGGTGTCCTTTTGGCCATTTGCTTTTTATTTATATCAAGATCAAAACCATTGAAAACGTTATCTAAACAGAGACCTCTCCCGAATATTTTTAACTTATATACTATAGTTACTGTATTACTTCAATTTGCTGTGCACTTCTTTTCTCTTGTATATTTAGTGAAAGAAGCTACTTTATTATCTCCAAAGTAAGTAAAGCAATTGTGCAACTGAATTTATAAGTCACTTCACTCAACTGATATTCATTTTTTTTTTTAATAAGGAACGACAAGTTAGCAATGATACTGCATCAAACCAATTTATCGAATGCAAGCATGGCTACTAACACAAGTTTCACTGACGAAGAAGAGCCCTTTGAACCAAATTTATTAAATAGTACAGTTTATATTATTGCGATGGCTATTCAAATTTATACTTTTGCTATTAACTATCGGGTAAGTGATACAATTTAGATGGAGATGAATTTGCGTATTGCATTGATAAATTAATATGATTCTGTTTTACAGGGTCATCCATATATGGAAAGTTTATTGCAAAATCGATCTTTATTATACAGCCTTCTGCTCAATGCTGCAATTATATTGGGATTAGCTTGTGGATTTTTGCCTGAATTAGCTGTTCAATTTCAAATTGTAGATTTTCCTAGTGACGTAAGTGAATATAAATAGAATCTTTAATCTCGCTATAACTGTTTTACATTCTAATTTATAATATTCTTTACTTGCAGTTCCGTACCCTTTTAGTTCAAATATTAATTGCAGACTTCGTCGTTGCATATATAGTCGACAGAGTCTGTTTGTGGCTTTTCGGTGAAGGAAGACATGAAAAACTGTGATTAGTACACAATTATTCTGCTCCACTTCTAATTTCAAGAGGGAGCCTAAATTTAAATATGCAATTTAATTTTCTTGTTACACAAAGAACAAATTTCTTTTGTTACTTAGTTACGTATGCACGGATCACATCACGATCTTTGCATATGAATACTTTTGAAAGATTGACCAATATTCAATTGCGAAGATATTTCTTAAAGATTCTTAAATTCTTTATTATTCTACATTAACTTGATTGTTCGTAAGAAATTAGTGATGATGCTTTGTGGAACGAGAAAATTTGAAGATATATATATATATAATACACACGTGTATGCGTATGAGTGTGTGGTATGTATGTTTTAACGATTGTAAGTATTACCATAAAAAATGAGTATGTAATGCGAGTGTCTACATACGATAAGTGAATAATACATAATGTCGTAATATATATTGTTGTTTAAGAACAATGTAAGTGTACCTTCAGAATCTGATTTAAAACTATTCAGAGAACAAGCTCTTTGTATTATATGAAAATATCTTTGTTTCGAATATTATATGGAGAAAGAAGTTATTACCTATAGGAGAAGTACGAAAATTTATGGTAAAATCTTACATATAGAGTGTTATGACTGTTTATCGTGGTAAAAGTTATTCTATTCTATTAGAAATCGTTGAATTCAAACTCTCGAGTTTCGTTCGAATTGTTCGTTTTAAACAACTCTCTCCTAAACTATCCACATAGTCATACAAACTTAGACTAAGCATATAAGCTTGAGTTAAGTTATGCTTAAAAATGTCCCGGTTTGTATTTTCCGTTTTGTTTACTTTTATATTGCTTTCATGTGTACAATAGAGTAAAATAGAATAATTATCAATATCAGTCTGTCTTTATCGTGACATTCCATTGTTCGAGTAGGTGTAATATTTCTTAACAGGGCTACACGAATGTACTGAATATATTTGCGTTCCTATTCGGTTCGACGAGTAATGATGTTATATCCAAAATATCTTGCGCGATTAACAGACGCGCGTACTTCGGCCGATACTGCCACTATTACAACAGGAAACAGATTTTACTTAATAAAAAAGGATGGTAATACGTCAAAATTTAATGATATTGTATTCACTGGGCGATGAAACAAATTTTTATCATTACATTTTTAAATCGGAAGTCCTAAACAAAAGCTGATTGTACATTGTTGTCTTTCGAGTGTTTGTATGATAATTATCTATAATGAATANACGCGACACGCGCGCGTTTCAATTGCCGCATATTTATTAAGAGAAAGACACGACATAAGCACAGTTAATCATTTCAATTTGAAACCCTAGCAATAACTTAACGTCAATTGTATGCTTACCTAACACCAGTTCATTAACGTAAAAACAAATACGAAAACATTTACGCGTGATACATCTGATCCAGTTGCCACATCGAGCAACACTTCGAATGTCCTCGACAGTATTCGCAGTTTTATTTGCTCAACTTATCCCTCCTATTTCGAATAATTAACATGACTCATCAACGAGGACAAAACTCTGAATATCCGTATAAAGGACTGATCGAGAGGGAACTACGAATTTAAACTTTATTCGCTATACTCGAGCGAAGAGTCGGATGAGTTAAGCCTAGATCGTGGAAACCGGTTGCTCTGTGCCGAACCTCGGACTTCACGACAGTCAGTCGTCGGTCACGGCACACGCGGTCGTTCGTTACGTTGTTCTCCTCGAACGAGCACACTTGTACGTCATGCTACCACATCTCGTACCAGTTTTTTAAAAATATTTCGTATCCCCCGCATCACATTTGCGGATAGGGACGTGTGCATAGATACCTCGGACACCGCGTAACAGTATTTCTTCCTCGCGATTTTTATTTCAAAGTTAGTATTACCTCGTGCCAAAGGAATTCGTTTAATTGCCTGAGCGGTAGCTTCGAAATCTTTATCTAGTATGTGACACAACATTGGATGTGCGCGTGCACGTGAAGAACCAGCGATCGTTTTGCCAGTTCATCGATTTACCCAAACGATCTTAAATTGAAAGTAAACGTTCTTCATTTTAATTAAATTAAATTTGCGAAAGAAATAAACGACCTTATCCCGACTCTCTACGTTCGACGAATGTAAAGTTCTTTGTTGTGCTGGAATTCAATCGCATTCTGCTCTTCGGTACAGTTATTTAAATATTTATACATATTCAGTTACCAATATATATATATACATTTTCAAGCTTTGAAATTCATTGATAACAATTCTCTTGTTCGTATCTTATTTCCGGGATTGACTTGAATTTTACGTTATTTGATGAGTGTCAATGACAATCAGAAAATAATGAAAATATCTTTTCTAATTAAGTAACGATACAAAAAGAATTGTATGACACAATAGAAGATAGAGCGTTGTATTAGAATATAACGGAGGAAGACAAAGATCGATTGCTTTTGCACATTGAAAGTAAATTGCTTGAAGGAAAATATCTATTGAATAACAAGCAGGAGGGAGAAGGCGAGAGTCAATACGGAAGAAATAAAAGGAGTGGAATCGTAACGTCAAGTTCTGTGTAATTGAAACAAGTTATCTGATTTAAACCGAACTGTTCTTTGATTAAAAATAACGCGTTCGTTTCGGAAATACGATAAACTTCTCTTTCAAAAACGTGAAAGATATTCGTGATGCTCTTACCTGGGGAATATTCAGAATGAAACAAAATTTGGACGTGCAACGCGACTACAAGTGATCTGCTCATCGCGACTAAATATAAAGAAAACTATTTATAAAATCGAGCAGTTGGTAGGCGCTTATCAGCAATCGAACATATCGTTCACTAATCAACTACCCAAGTCGGTAATATCAATTAAAATTATCTTTATTTGTATATTTTCATGTTTATCACAATGTATGCACAAGTGCAGCAGAAAACACGCAGATAATAACACGTTTAACAAACCACATCTAGCCATCTCTAACTGGCCAGACTTAATGCATTAATGACTGGGACGCATTGTTCCTAATTTTCAACACATCACGAGAAATATAATTTCGGTTCCGATCGTTTTACTTTCCAAGAATAACGGTAGTAGCATAAAAAAATGTTTCATAATTGTGACTATAATTTAAAAACTTACGATAAAGCGGTTACGCGAGTTGTTTGCGGTGTGTAATTATTATCCGCATTCCTGAAATGGTTTGTGGTCAACTCCTTCCATATCTTTCACTTTGTTCTTCGACGATCTACTGACCTCACGTCCATTCGCATTACCCGGTAACGCGACACATGAGTCTACTTTCTCTGAATGAAATCGGTTATTGGCATACTGGCTCCTGCATAATGCTGACCTCTACGTAGAACTAATATAAGCGAAGCTGGATTCAAATATTAACTCAACTCGAGACTCGAAACTTAAGAACATTACATTCGCAGAGTGAGTTTTCGAATGGACCTTACATTTTTACGTTTGAAAGCGTTTCCATATGTTATGGTTTATAATCGGCATCGAATGCAGTGATGGGCGTAGAATTCAGTATTCAATCTCAAGTTAAGTACGAGTCCGAAATTATGGTACTCGAACAAAATATGCTCGACAAACTATGAATTTGAACATGACAAAACTTTCCGATATGAGCCCGACCCGTTCTTATCGTTCCGTTATCAGAGCCTTAAGGATGTATTGGCTATACAGTCAATCCCAAAAGTTTATGTANTCCGATGTCTGATTTCTTTTTAAAGAATGCGTTTCTAAAGTGCATAAACTTTTGGGATTGACTATATAGCCAATATATCCTTAATTGTTGTTAACGAATAACTCGCTTCGATTCCGTACTCAGAAAGTGCGAACGTTCAGTAAGCTAACAGGTTCTATTAGAATACTAACAGCTGCGAGTCGCATTAGGGTCATAAGTCAATTACCAATTAGGAATGCACATGTATTAGATATACACATACACAGATATTAATATAAGAATTCTACAAATCCATTGCAAACAGATTGTCTCGCATTTGTTGAACCACGTTAACACCATCCGTGGTAGCGGACGCTTTCTCTGAACAGCAACCGACTCTCATTTAATAAAATTGTACTTGTTGATAACAGGAAAAAGCAACTACCCGTCTCAGACCCATTATGCGTATCATCCCAAGAGCCATTAAAGCTTTCATCCGTGTTACTTGACTTCCATTGCTCCTATTATCGGTGTTATCAAGCAAATCTGGCTTCATAAATCAGGTTCTCGCTCGGTTTCAGCTTCCAAGAGCCGAGAATGCTGGAAACACAGGAGAGAGGATACTTTCATTGGGCAGATTGGCTGGTGTTCGCTCTGATGCTCGTCGTATCTGCCGCCGCAGGATTATGGCATTACAGAAGAGCGCAGAAGTCGAGCACGGAAGATTATCTCTTAGGAGGAAGGAGCATGGCCCTCTTCCCCGTGTCCGCTTCCCTCGTCGCCAGGTACTTCTTCTCTCCTCGAATCTTTCTAATTGCCAGTGAATTAAATCCTCAGAGATTTCATCACGATTTATCCGACCCCGTGCTCGTTCTACTTCCGTGTTTCGCTCTACGCAGAAGTTCTGATTCTTTTTCTAGCTTTATATCCGGCGTAACGATCCTCGGGACACCGTCGGAGATATACAATTTTGGAACCCAATATTGGATCACTATTATCTCAATATTTTTCTCCGGTCTCGTGGTAGCTCTCGTTTATGCTCCAGTATTCGTCAATTTGGGATTAAATTCCGTTTACGAGGTATACCGTCGCTTTCGTAATATGCGGGAAAACGTAGATCGAAATGACGTGTGCGCTCACTATTTTCCTGACTCTGTTGCAGTATTTGGAGATAAGATTCAATCGCGGTGTAAGGACTCTCATATCGTTGATCTTCGTCATTGACGTGGTAAGCACAAAGCGGTGTCGACGAACTTTTAACCGTGGCGCGGATTTATCTCGACTTCGAGGGCGTAAAACTCGCGGTACTCGGTGAATAGATAAGAATCTTTGAAAGAAGTAATTCATCATCGACTTTAATTTGACGGAAAATTGTTTGCAACGTCACGGCACGTTAAAGATACATGAGACTTTAATTAACTCGGTTCTTATCAAAGAATTCGATAGATCTCGCGTCGACAAAGCTAATGAAATTCATTTTCATAATTTCTCGACCTCGATATTGTTCTTTCAAAATGATCGCTACGTGGTGGCATGAATTGAACCGTAATTATAATTCAATTTTAGGTTCTTTACCAATCGATCGTGATCTACGTTCCAGCATTGGCGTTGAACCAAGGTATTACACGGTTATATTATTCATAGTAAAATGTTAATCGAGCGCTATCAAAATCCCTCTGATTAATTACAGTGAGCGGAATTAATGTGCATTTGATTGGGGTCATTGTGTGCCTCGTGTGCGTGTTCTATACCGTTCTGGTAAGTTAATGCATTGAAAATTTGTCAGGGCATGCATGTTGTAGATCGATTCCAAATAAAAGAGATGGAACGATATTGCGTCTTCGTCCCAAGCGATTCAGTTGCTGACGAAACGGACTAAATTCGACGAATTCAAGTTAACGAGATGTATCGTCGGTATACGTAGAATACATGAAAGGGACGGTAGGGTGGGTCGGGAGTCAAGTCCCGAATAGATGACTCGGCCTAGGTATATGCGAGCTAATTTTCCAAGGACGATCGTTCGGCGAATTCTCCTGGGGATAGCTGGAGTTCCTCGGACCGGGAGGACGCCGGTACCTGGTAGGAAACAATTTTCGGTGGACAATGCCGCGAAGAATCTCTCACACGGACCTGGCTACTGGAAATGTTTATGGACGGAAACTGAAAGCTCGACAATGGCCCGGCGGAAACAATAGCGTGGAGCACGTCGAGTGCTCGTTCCGCGTACTAGCGGATCACAAAGCCAGAGCCGAAGTGATTAATCGCATGCTAGCGCGCGCCTGTAATTATCCAAGCAATTTGTTGTAACCCGCGAATTAATGAAAATTTATCGCGGTCCAGTGACTCTTTGGAAATTTGTTTATTATCGCCTGCCGTCTCGGCGCGCCTACAAGTTTCACTTACGTTCAATGATCTCGCCGAAATTGCGGCTGCTTTTTCAAGGCAAATCGATTTGAATATGATTGATGATTCTCACGTTATGAATTTCACGGTTGAAATCTATAGAAGTTAAGGCTGGTTGTGGTATAATTGTCAATGAGCTCGTAGATTAATTGAAGTATACGATTACTACATAGGGTGGTATCAGGGCAGTAGTTTGGACTGATGCACTTCAAGTTGGAGTTATGATTGCCGGCGTTCTGACTGTTACTGCATTGGGTACTTATCAAATTGGAGCTGCTGAGATATGGAAGAGAGCCCAAGAAACCGGCAGAATTCAATTTTTAAAGTAAACAGTATTGCTCACTATTTCCGACGCGAAACATACTGGCTTATCATTTTATACTATTTTTTTCTTTAGCTTTGATACGTCTCCTTATGCAAGGCACACAGTGTGGACCGTTTTGATTGGTTCGTGGCTGTATTCTACTGCTTATATAGCCGTGAATCAAACTATGGTTCAACGTTACAGATCGCTCAAAGATCTCAAAACGTCCAAACTGTAAGTGAGTAGGTCATAATTTTTGAATTTCCTATAAATAAAGTAGTGCATTCAGTGCTTGCTATTTTATACATGTATAATTTCAGATCGTTAGCAATATTCACTATTAGTATTATGTTATTCATTTCACTATGTTGCTGGTGCGGCTTGGTACTCTTAGCTTGGTGGGCTCCGCCTAAATGCGACCCTAGAGCTACTGGCTTAATCACCGCTGATGATCAATTATTGCCCGCTTATGTAATGCAAGTCGCCAAAGATTTGCATGGCGTGCCGGGCCTATTTATTGCTGCAATTTTTGGAGCGGCTCTCAGGTACGTATCTCATATTTGCTTTCCTCATATTTGAGATTCTCGTGACATTTATATCTTTCTACAGTACCCTCTCCGTGGGTTTTAATTCGACATCGGTGGTAGTTTTGGAAGATTTTATCAAGGGCTGCTTTGGTATGAAACTGAGCGACAGGTGCTCCACGATCTTCGTGAAATGTTTGGTTGTCGTCCTCGGCTCGATAGCCATGGGCTTATTGTTCTTGGTTGAGAAATTGGGAGGAGTTTTAGTAGTGAGCATACATTTTTTGAACTCCATTTCGTGAATTAGGATAACAACTTATTTTGATATTTGAATATAGATAACTGGAAGTCTAGCAGCCATTGCCGCAGGCACTTCCTTCGGAGTATTCACATTAGGCATACTTTTCCCATGGGCAAATTCCAAGGTAAATAATGAATATTTGTTTCACTTAAGGTGAGTATAGAAAACGTTCGACAGTAATTCATTCGTTGATTAGGGCGCGTTTATGGGTGCAATCGTGGGATTCCTGATCGCTGGCTGGGCGAGTTTAGGTGCAAACTGGTCTCTCGGTGCCGGGTTGCTAGTTCCTAAGAAACTTTCGGTGCCCCTCTCTCATTGTCCGGGCAATATCTCCGAAAGTTTCCGTAAGCAGTTTGATCATCCAGAGTAAGTCAACCTTACCATCGACTGTAATTATTAAGTCTTTCCTAATCAATTAAATCCTAAATAGTCATTAACGTCACTGTCGAGAAACATAAGATTTTGTATACGACTAGAGAGAGTTAACTTTGTCATTTCCTACGGGACATAAACTTTCATTTTTTCACACATGACACAAACTTTCATCTTTTTACAGTGAAGACGAAGTATTTCCCCTTTATCGATTATCGTACCACTGGTTCACCGGTCTGGGTACGCTAATTGTTATCGTCGTAGGTAGTCTCATCAGTTTTTGGACAGGTCCTACGAATCCTGCTACCGTTGACAAGAAATTATTTTCGCCGCTCATTCACTCGTACGTTAATATCATTACCTATCGTTTCGCAGTTAGAGATATTTCTTAAAAAAGAACCGTATTTTAGGTGGTTACCCAAACCTAAACACGAGACTGTCGTCAACGCTGAAAGTGCCCCAGGGACGAGTGAAACAAAGGCAACGACTAATCTCTTACTCTCCGATTTGAAAAAGAAGAGGGTAACTTTTATCGTAGAAATACTTTGGTATTTTTTTTCATTTTAGGTAACAATTTTTCGTGTTTTTCTTATAGAGAAATCAAAATTTTCCCAATGGCGTCACAACATAGTGCCACGCATATCGAATTTCTACAGTTCACTGAACGTTTATCAACAACGGAACTGAACCATTGCTGCACTACTGAAAGCGCTGATCTATTCAGAGCAAAGTTCTAGAGGTTTCATACCGTGAAATTTATTTTCAATTCAAGGCAGAGATAGATATAGTTCGTGTTTTATCTACTCAGCATCAGTTGTAGATCGACCGATGAGTCGTAGATCGACTTGTTCAAGCAGAAATACACATTACGATTTCATGTATTAAACTATATAGTTTTATATGACTTGTAGGAGATAATAAACTTTTGTATTTTATTTGATTAATTACGAGATCCTGAATGTAAGAACTTACCTATCCACACTTCCTTAATCACCATAATTATCACCACTGAGCGACCGTTCAGGACGATCAACGTGCTAAAGCTACTTACATAAGAGAATTGCCGGACGCAGGGAAGGATGAGTTCTGGCGTTTCTATCACGCCGACAGGTCCGGTTGCTCCTCACACCGAGTTCTCTAACTGAGTTTGTTCGGTTTTCAAGCTTTGGTGATTCCCGACGATGTCCGTCGTGCGGAAGGTGAATGGATAGACGGAGAAAGGGGCAAGACGCGGAGAATAGAAGCGTGCGGACGATGTAGAAGCGGGTACGGAGAGGACAGAGCAAGAGGAGCAGGGCCTCGGGATATTAGCCGGCTTGTTAAGGGAAAGCCAACGCCGTCAAACGTCCTTATTAAGGCCACGCAAATAGCTGCTACGCTTCTCCGCGCTTACCTCTTGACTCCTCTTCCTGGAAATTCAATTTTCGCCTGGTCGAAACGCGCCCGGTCAAAAGCGACGTCGTCCTACGGATTTGATATTGTTCCCGGTGCCGATCGCCGAGGTCGATATCCTCCGTGTCGCCAGTTTTTGCGCTGACGCTTCGTACCTCGTCACGCGATTCCTCGATCCCGCTCGAATACCGGGACGCGATCAGGTAATTACCAACGGACCCGTTAATATTCCTCGAGCCATTAGTAGTGTACGTTCCAAAACAAGTACGAGCTTGGTCTCTTCAATGTAATCCCAGTGACCTGCCCGGAAATTTCTCCACCGCAGAATCCACGAAGCTATTGAAATAACTTTCTCCCGCGATGCTTAACGATCCTAAGCGTGTTCTTTTCTTCGCCGGTACGTAGATGCGTGTTGAATAGAAGCGCAGCCGCGAATTGCACACGGTGCATGCGAAGGTTTCATTAAGAGGAGCGTGCGCGACACGTAGCGCCGGAAAGAAAATTGCGAGTTACGGGCCGCGTGCGGGGCTTTATTAAGCGCGCTTCATGCACGATTTGCATTCGTCTGGGTCGCCGATAGATTTGAAATTCCCACGTAGAACGTGCCGCGAGTATGTATATAGGGTCGAGAATTCGAATCGAGTGACGAACGCCCGGTGAACGCCTAGCGGAACGTACTACCTACGTAACCACGCGTGATTGTGTCGGCGAAGCGAAACAAGTCGAATAGAGACCGCGAATAGAGAGATAAGAGATGTCAGTTGAACGGATCGGAAGAGGAAAGGTAGCTGGTAACAGTTTAACAGGGACAGAGAGCTGAAGCTAGCGAATGTTAGAGAGAGACGAGAGATTTAAGTGGAGAGAAAATGAAGCAATGCAGCATGAAAAAACGCAAAAATCAAACGGGCGAAGGTGGAAACGATGAGCAATAGATTGGAGGGGCGTCGTTTTCAAATGAAACCAGAGACGAGAATGTATGAATTTGTAGAATAGAGTACGATAGAAACCGGGTTAAACGAGATACAGGATCTTGGCGCTCTGGTTGAAAAGAAGATGGAAACATTAGATGGACGGGAGTTCGCATAGCGAGACGCGAAAGAAATCGCGGAAACCTCGACCTCGTCTCTGACGAGGGGTTGAATAGAGAAAGCGCGATAAAGCATGTTAAATGAAAGGCAAAACATTTGAAGTGAGACAGAAAAGAACGGACAAGCTCCGTCGGCTGTATGGGGTGAGGCATCCCATTAGGAGGGGTAAAGCGAATAAAATAGAAGATTACGTGTGTGTGGTGAAAGAGCCGGTCGAAAATTAGAGCAGGATACGCTAGACGTGGAGAAGAAACGTGCGGCAAGAAATATATACGTCGAATCCGAACGGCACGGCGGCGGTGCGGTGCGCGACGGAAGGAGGATGGGAGTTTTCACAGAGCGGGAGGGAAAATCGCTCGATGAAGTCGGTGCAAACGAGACGCGAGGCAAAGTTCGGTGGATAAACGAGACGCACGGGTGCAAGCGGGGTTGTCGGTGAATGAGGGTTGGAACGAGCGAGACACAGGGGCCGGCGCTGGCTGATAGAGACGGATAGAGAGAGGTCGTGGCGGCTTGAATGGGGCTAGTTTGAGATAGTTAGCGGGCCTTCAGAGGTACAATCGGCCGCGATTGGCGGGCCTACAATCACACGTCGCATTATATGTCCATCAGCGCAGCGGATCTTGCAAATACGTTAGCGCGTGAGCCAACGAGTTACCGTCCGCAAAAATCTTCAATTCAAACCGTCGTTGCTGCGGATATGGGTCTCTCTGTGGTCATGCAAGAGAGATCCTTAGACGCGTTCGCAGTTCGACTTTACAGTTGTAGGTGAACTTTTAGGAAACGCGCGAAATTCGTGGATAGTACACGGAGATAAAAAGAAAATCGATTGTGAGGAAGATTTAAGCGTGATCTCTTCTCGGAGTAGAGACCTTAGGTTTCTGTGCTTGTGTATACAAGTCGCGGACTTCAATTCTAAGGGAGGACAAATAGTAAGCGATATATTAAGTGAAGGCACATCTGCGATGCGATACGCGATTAGACGCAGAAGCACCGAGGCAAATATTGTCTTTTCTAATCTGCTGTTAGAGTCGCACTATCTTGGTATTACCATGGGATAGGATCGAATTCTTAGAGAGTTAATTGGGTCCTGGCTAGGGATTTCGTGCGAAGATTCTCCGGATGCAAAGACAAACGAGAATGGTCATAACCCTTAGCCTTGTTTACCCAGGGCTAGAGTTAGATTCAAAGGATGTACTACGGAACTGTTATCCGTTGATAAACGATGGTTCGCTACGCTTTCTATTAAGCTTTTCCCAATTAATGCGTGCAGTTTAGGATGTACATTAGAAGATTATATTCGAACTATCAATTAGGACTCGTAACTCATTTTAATTTTTTAGACATTTCTCTAAAATACTTGTTTCTTCATCTTATAGTAAACGGATGTTCAGTTGAAAATTAGTCTAGATGTCTAGTGTATTTCGATAGGATATGCGAAAAGCAGGAACGCTGTTCAATATAAATAAGCATGATTATTCGAAACCTCAGCTCAAACGTACCTGGAGGAACAGTAGCAGGCGACTGACGGAATAACTAATTTATCAATTCTTCGCTTCGGTTGGCTCCGATACCTATGGCTATATTTGCGAACTCGTGTAAATAGACCTCCGAACTCCCAGGGTATGTTGTCGCATCGTCGTCGTTGTATTTGGCTACGGAAGATCTCCAGAAAGCACCGGGTTCCAATGTTAGCCTACCGAATTACGTATTCTTGCATTTATTCGTTCGATTTTATTTTTTATTTCAATGTTAAATTATCGAAAGGTACTCGCTATTTTATTGTTCGTCAAACGTTAACATGCCATAATTGAAAACAGACATCGTTATTGATAAAATTATTTTAAATAACTGACGATCACCGAGCGAATAATTATCAACATTATTATACGCGTGGATTCGTTTCGTAATATTTGTGTGTGAAAAGTACTTTTAATGGATAGTAAAGATATTAGAAAACGTGGTTCGAGACTGAAAAAACGCAAAACGAGCGTGCATCGTGTGTAATGCGGAACGAGAGACGTAAAATCGGTTTATCCAAAAAAATGGGCAACGCAGTAATGATGCCAATTAATGCAGATCGAGTAGCACTGTCACGGATTGCAGTGGGTTCGCGTTTCGAAATGTTATTCGCGGCGTACGCGAGATCGTCGAGATAAAAATTTTCCGCGCAAAACGTGACGTATTAGCCGGCTTGGTAAGTCATAAAGGCGCATAATTACCGGTGGAGCGTTCGATAAATTGTAACGAAGATAGAATGATACATTCGTGAAAGGAGCGTGTTTAAAGGGAGCCGTTTCGCTAATTGAAGAAAATTGCACACACGAAAAGGCTTTTAATTAAATTGAACGGTTCAACGAACGAGTTGTATTTATATGTATATCTATCGTTCCATCGAAATAAAAAAAGAACCGGTATTGCCAAGAGAGCGTATTAACAATCGTCAATGCCGCTTGTAACTTTTTAAATTCCCGTGTCAGTCGGATCAATCGAATTCGATTGTTCTATTATTTTTAATGAAATTAATTGGAAATTAACAATGACCCAAAATTTTCATGTATGCATTTTATTTCACGTTCAACTCGTTTTTTTCTCGCCATTATGATTTGTATTCAACTGGTTTACATTTACATTTTTCAAAGGTGTTCGCGAAAAAGCGAAGCAGCGAAAATTATAATTCACGTAACGCAGTTTGCAGGGAAGCCTGTGCGAATTTTAAATGGTTTCAATTTTTAATTTTTAATACGCATACGAAATCAATTATGAATATGATTATTATTAAGAGAAGCTGAAAAGAACGTCGATTGATCCGAATCGTTGCAGAGAATTTTATCAAAGCGATGCCAGTCGCCACAGTTAATTTATTTTGTATAACCAAACTAGGTACGCATACGCTTATTCTATATTCAATACGATAAGTTAGTTTTGAGCAAGTTTTAAATAGAATTGTATTTACCTGTTCTTTATACGGTTCGCTTCGCTTCGTCCCTTCCTTTCGATATTTGCTAACGATGATTGATACTACTCGTTTATTAGCGAACAATATCCGATGATGAAAAGAGAGCTTTCTATCCACATACACACGTCACACACATACGTGAATTATCTATTAACCCCTAATGACGTGAATTTATCTGCTAACCAAGAGCGCCAATTTAACGACGCGAGTCGTCCATACGTATTTTGTTGCACCGCAAGGAGAGGCTAACCTGCCAACAGCGACAAGTGGCGCGCGTTCCACAGTTTGGCGTCATACTGCGTTCCACGATTTCTAGTCTTCTTCTTTGTGCAGTATGTTTTGCTACAATCCCCTTAAGTTCAGTGAAAATACGTAGCGAAAGTTCCAACGCAGCAGAAGTACGGATACTTGTTAAATTCAATAGAGAACAGTCATGTGGACTTTGGTAAGTAACTATCACCTGTCGATCTTGTACAGCACGAAACACGTTTGACTGCTTGTATAT